TAATGTGTTTGCAACGTTCTCTTAAATCGGCTTTGCACGTGCAAGTCATTGATATGATATTGCTTAAATCATCCAGAATCACCTCACCAATTATATAACGTGAATCACTTTTTAAATTCGAAGTTTGTAAAAAGTAGGCAGTAAACTTGACGGAATTTGAAGGCTAGCTTCCGGATTTGTTATTTCCGAATTTTATAATGTGATTGGCGTTAAAAACATGCTCATCTTCTACGAAATTTCCTTTCCGAGGCTTTGTGTCAGCCCAATCACATATTGTGTCAATACTTATCATTTTATCGTAATTTAAAAACCTGGAAATTGCACGGTACACTATAGGAACTACGATAATTTTTCCCTAGTCGGTGCCATGTTTTTAGGCTCTTCCTATTTGACGGATCCCAATACTCCATACACTACATCGATGTGCTCGTTACAGTTTAATGTATATAGATATCGAAAGAGTTCTGAGATATCTACTAATCCAGTGGTGCGTCAGTCGCATGCATCGATGCGTCAAAAACATTAACGGCAATTATTTAATTAGATTTCTATGACAGTAACCTTATATATCTGACGCATCATAGAAAATCCACCTTAATGTAATAGATACACCTGAACCTTATTTTATAACAACTTTTTTAAACAAACTTCGACACCAAAAATGCATCTTCCTTCCTCTGTATTCACTGTGGAAGAAGAAATAAACCTGAAAATTTTATTTACATGTGCATAATTTTTAAGATCGTTTCTGTTGCGCAAGAAAAGGTTTAGGTGTACCATTACCATCAACGAAAGCCCAGGACACTGACATATCCAGCTTACCAGTGAAAGATAAAGGATAAGAAAGAGTAATGCGAATGCCAGTGCCCTGGCTATTTAGATAATGCGTAGAATAATAATAATAATCACAGTAAAATTGTTACTTATTTAAGTTAGGTAGAAGTGTTCAAAAAAAGTCAAAAAGTAGAAAACACGTACATAGCTTGTTGCTGTGTTGAAAACTGTGCGGCGGCAAGCATCTGAGAGGCCAGGGCACTGGGAACAAAATTAGAGTTTGTTACTTAATAGGAAAACGAAAACTTTCTTTTAGAATAGTCAAAGGTTAGGAAAAACTTGTTCCTGTAATCGTTTTAAAGACAGCGGAAAGTTTTTTTTAGATCTGAGCTTTAGTAGAGATAGGATTTATAGCGATTTTTCAGAAGCAGTTCCCATCCGTGTTTGCTCCGGCAAAACCACAGTGACAGGAACTTCTGATTTTGTCACAGCTGCGATAAAAGTAATTAGTTCATATCATTTTTGAATAATTTGACGATATATTTTTCTAATCGGCTAAACCTATTGCGATACTACATTACAAATATGAAAAAAAGATTATTGAGGGTGATCTAGGCCAATGTTTTTTTGAATTATTGCTAATAACAGTTATTATTATAAACAATTATAAATACTTTCACGTGAACGAAGCCGCGGGTAAAATCTATGATGAAATTTTGAACACACGTTGTCAGGGTATAGAAAAAGACATAGGGTACCTTCTATATAATAGTTTTATATAGACGTCGTTGATCTTTGATATTTATTTGGGAAATATATGCAAGCGAAGCAGCGGGTAAAACCTATCATGAAATTGGTAAAGGTCTAGATGATGGCCCCCACCCCCGAAGGGGGATCGAAAGAGGAGGTCTCACCCAGCACAGTACCATTAAAAGTTTGTGCCGGTCTCACCCCCATAAAAAGTTACGGGGATTCAAAGTTAATAAACATGCCAATTTTTATACATTTCTAGGCATGTAAATATTTATACAGTCATTCTTAAACAATATTCAAAGGTAAAACTAATGAAAAATACATAAAAATATTGAGAAAGTTATATAAAACATTATTTAAATAGCTTTATCAATAGGGTAGGTTAGGTTAGGTTATCGGGTTTTGTTCAAGTGACCACTCTCTTTCGATCCCCCACCTCCACCCGCTTGAAAATACTTTTTTATTGAATTTTATTTGAATTATAGTTTATGAAAATTGTCAAAATAATCAACTTTCAACCCCCATAACTTTTTATGGGGGTGAGACCGCCGCCAATTTTTTATGGGGTTTTACTCAGGTGACCACCCTCTTTCGATCCCCCCTACCCCCACCCCATCTAACCCTCATTACTTTTTATGGGGGTGAGACCGCCACGAACTTTTTATGGTACAGTGGTGGGGGAGACCTCCTCTTTCGATCCCACCCACCCCCACCCCCTTCGGGGTGTAATGAAATGAAAATTTTGTACAAACATTGCCAGGGGTACAGAAAAGAATATATCTATAGTAGTTTTTATTCAGAGAAAAAATACTATTCCCGAGGGATAGCAAAAAATTAGTTTTATGTGGACGTCGATGATCTTTGATACGTATTTAGGACATTAACGCAAGCGGAGCCGCGAGTAAAACTATGTATATAATTTGTTTTATTTTGATGTAGGTAGACCCTTACCTGCATATTGCACTTTGACTGTAGGCAGGACCTTCTGTAACACTGAGGGCTTGTCCAACTTGTGTTTGCGTTAATCCTAAAGACAGTCTACGAAGTTTAAAAGCTTTGGCAAATTCTTTAATTTCTTCTAAATTAATTCCGTCCACAACATTGCAATTTGTTTGATTGATTGTTGGTTGACCTAGAAGTAAATAATATTTAAGTTAGAGGTAAGCTGCGTACACGGTTTGGATCCGGCACGTTTTTAGGATCCGCCCAGGTACCGGATAATGGCACCGAGTACCCGGCAGTGCCGAATAATTATACCGCAGACAAAAAAGAAAAAAAAACAGCAGCAATAATAATAATAATTCAGTATATCTAACAAAAAATCTACCTAAAAAAAATTGATAATTAATATTGTATTAAGATGGGTCGTTTGTCCTTATTTGTATTATTATTGATTACTGTACTAAATTATTCCTTATTTCGATATAGTTTTTGTGTTCCTCTCGTTAACAAGAATAAATTTGTACAAATTTGATTATCGATAACTTATTACTATGATTTTGTCACTTTGTATTAATTTCAATGGTTTCAACTAAACAATCTGGTTAAAAATCCGCCAATCAAGAATTAAGTTTTCATTGGTTCTGTTGTTAAAACGATTTTGAACGGAACTTTAATGACTAGTTTAAGACGTTGGTAAGGGTTATATTTAATTATAGAAAGTTCACTAGAACGAAAACGTCAACCTTTAACCGTAGAGGTTTTTTCAGGTATCCGGCACAGCTAAAGCCGTGTACACGGTCATCCGGTTTCTGGCAAATTTACTTGGCATTTATATTAAATAACAAATACATCATCATAAGGTCGTCAGTCCTAAGACGGGTTGGACACGCACACCCACTCTTCGAACGCTTCTAATCTTTTCTTTTCCGCCGTACCGACTGTCCATGTTTCGCACCCGTACAGCGCCGTGCTCCAAACGTACATCTTTAACAATCATTTTCGAATTTCTAAATTAATCTTTCTCGAGCGTAGAAGTGACTTCTTTTTATTAAAGGCGACACGACCCTGCGCTATCCTCTGCTTTATATCCCTACTACTCCTTCCGTCCTGATTTATCTGACTTCCTAGATGCCTAAAATTAGCCACTTCTTCTAATTTTTCGTCTCCTATCTTTATATTCACTCTTTCCCTACTTTTTCTTTTCTTGCATTCCAGTATTTTTGTTACTATGATTCGATGATTATACATAGCATTGAGTTGTCCTTGAAGATTTCCTGTTGTTGGAAATCGTTCTATCAAATCACGCAATCGAATAAAACGATCTTTGCAGTTGTGATCTTTAGTTTTTCAAAATGTAATTGTGATACTAACTTTCTGTTGTTGTTTTGAATATCCTGCTTTGAGTTTTTCCTGAAATTTTATTTTTAGTAGTTGGTACACGTTCAACTTCATAATTGTGTATCTACTTTATTGAAAGAGGTAATAATAACGCAAACCAAAAAGCAAAAAGTTCAGAATTATTTATAACTTTATCGAAGTTTTACTAGATGTTTTGTAAAATGGCCCGATTCTTCTATGAAATCTGTCTCAATAATTACTTTGCCTAAACCAAATAGTGTAAATTTATAATATACATAAACTAATTGATTTTAGAGCTTAAATAATCAATTATAACTACCTATAATTAAATTGGAGAGGAATTGATAAAGAGGAACAGTAATTTATGGAAAGCAATTTTAAACATGGCTATAACTGGTAAATTTTCACGCATGCAATATGTGGGTATAATTGCTTGCCTCACAATATATGAAAAGGACATTACAAGAAACATAAACCGGAAATGACTTGTTCACTATAAACGATGTACTAAACTTTTTATTAATTAATACTCACAATTATTCTCTGAAACTTAACTATCGAAATTACTTTAGTAATTATTGTTTAACAGAATATCAAATGAAATTGCATTTTGTAAGCATTGATTTTATTACTTATTAAATTATTCATGTACCTAGTGATATTTACACAAAAGATGTTTCTTTTATGATTTTCGATTGAATTGTTCAGGTAATATAATATAAAACTTAATTTCTTAATAAGTCTACAAAAGAATGTTTACTGTACTAACGGAAGACACGAGACCGTTTATTCCTAGTAAGCATGGGAATGGGTAAAAGAAAAAATGTCGAGTTATAATATTGGAACCAACAAAAAATTTGTTAATCATCACAGGGTCGTCAGTCCTAAGACTTGACACGCACCTCCACTCTTTCCTATCCTGGACTGATCTTGGCATTTGAAAGTCAGAATTTAAAATCGTCTTCAGAGCAATCTTCCCTCTCCTTCCCTTTCTAATTTCAAAACCTTAGATGCAAAATATCTGATAATTTGTCTGAAAGTATAAGTAGGTAAAAAGGGTTGGGCTTTTACAACCCGGGTTATTTAATATTTGGGCTTGATGCCCTTGTGTCTAGGATTGTTTCTCCTTCAATAAGAACACCGACAATGCTGTTGCAAAAGTAGTAAAATTTAGAATATTACCTATTCTTTTTCTTGTGGCACCTATTGTAATTTTCATAGTCTATCTAAAAATTTGTAAAAAATCTTGAGGGTAGATTTAATAAGCATTTCTTAATTCATTCGAAACAGATATAAGATTTTTTGGAAAAGTAATAGTTTGGATCCTCTTGTTATAGTTCTTCCGCCCTTTTGTCCATCTTTCTCTGATTTTTTGGCACATGGGAAATTAAGCTAATTGTTCTAAATGTCTCGCACCTATCTGCGCTTCTCTTTTTAGGTTATGATTACTACCACGTTTGGTTTTTAATATTCCGGGACTTTCCCCGTCTCGTAAATGTAACTAACTAGCATAAACATACGATCTCTTACCTCTTGTTCTGCATGTTTGAAAATTTCCGCCTATACCTGGTGAATTATTATTCTTCAAGTTTTTTAATGAAAGATACTAAATAAAAAATCAAATAATTTTTAAAATTTGTATTTATTGTTTAAAATAAAATTTAACTAAGGTACGATCTAAGGGATTCCCTATTGATTTAAGGAGGTTTGTAGATTAATTAATAAACTACAAATAAAAATAATAAAGTCTAAATCTGGGATCAAATTACGGTCGACACATTTACGGAGTCTTAAAAATGACAATTCCCGATTATCTCCTGATTACTTCTCGGTATGTATTCTAAAACTAGCATTTTCTTTGTAAGTACTTTTGACTTAAGTGGTGAAATATGAGTCTCCATGCAATAAATTCTGACTCCTTTAGAAGTCATTTGTTGCTACTGCTGTTTATAAAAAGGTTTCAACCATGGACCAGTTAAAGATTTACTGTTTTTTTTTTACCTCAAACAAGAATTCGGCTGTGTCACTTTAATAACTGAAAATACATTAATTTTATATTAACTTACTTGGCGAGTCGATTAATAAATCAGCGGTGGATGAATGATCATTGCACGCTGGAGACAAACTGAGCGACGAAGGTGGCCGTTTCAGGCCTTGACTAGAACTCGAGCTGGCCGACATGGGTGTATCCACGTTGGTGGGTGATCTATTATTAATTGTATTATCGTTATAGGCCGGCGATGTTTCATTTTTATTTACTTGTTGCCCTTTATTTTCTGCGACGGCATTGTTGGCGTTAAAATGACCCACGCTCCGATTGTTTCTAACATTTGGCACATCGGTCACGTGGTTCAGGGTGGGCAACGTGGTTGTTTGAGGTGTTAAGTGAGACGTGTTTAACATCTCCGGCAAGTTTTGTAATAGATGATGGGGGGAATTGTTTGAAATGAGTGTAGGAAACGCGGTCGAATTGAGCAAATTTATACCAATGGCACCACTTTTACCTAAAATAAAAAAAAAGATCATTTAGTATTACTGCAACAACTATAGATTCATAAAAGGGAAATAGTGTCCGACCGAAACTGGTTTTTACGACCGAAACCGAAACCGAAACCGAAACCGAAACCGAATTTCGGCAACGGTCACAGTTTCGGCCGAAACCGAAATCGAAACCGAAACTTATAAGGATCATGTTTTGAGAAAAAAATAAAGAAAACATTATTATAATCAGTCAGTTTTATTTTTTTATCTTTAAATCACATAGCTCTGCAATCTTTGACATTTTCACTTATTGATAATCAAATCAAAATCAACATAACAATAACCCCTCATTTAAGGAAATACTTTAATTGCGCTTTAAAAATACTTAAAATAGGTGAGATGTTTATTTGAGTAAGTATAGTAGACTTGACTCATTTTTCATTTGAAGATGCGAAATGTCTACTAATCTACTTCGCTTGGATGGAATTTAACCCGCCGAACATGACCGAGCATAGCGCGAGAACTCCCGAGCGCAGTTTCGGTTTCGGTGGTAGTTTCGGCAGGTTTGCCGCCGAAACCGAAACTAAACCGAAACTCGTTTTTTTACCGAAACTCGACCGAAACCGAAACCGAACTTTCGGTCGGACACTAAAGGGAAATGTTGGAATATGCTAAATAGTCAACTTCCTTTTGAGCTTTCACAAAATGTTAAAATACTCAAGTGGTCGACTTTCTTGCAATTGGATCGTAAAAACCATAAAATCCTTTCGAAATACAGATAATCCGACTTTTAGTAATTAGGATAAATTAGCTAGTAATGAAATTATAGAAGAAACTGTCGTTTATTTCCAGAGTTTGTGGTATAAATATACACTTCTGCTTTCGTAATTACGGAAGCTTCGCATACTTTTTCACATCCGGTTCTGCATGTGGTTCCGCAATTTTATAACGGAAGCTTAGCGGAACTATCCTCTTTCTTAAAATCAATATGTTGAAACAATAAAATAAGTACTTTTATTTATTGGCTGAACTTAAGCGTTTTCAAAACGAAATTTAAATGGAACTACTCGTTGCAAAGTTGTATGATGGAGAGCGATGCTACTGTAACGTTGTTTTTTATGTTTATGAAGTATTAGCGGCAATGTGTATCGTTATATCCGGCAAAATATTGTTAATAATAATATTGTCCCGATTCAAATAAGTTTATTATAGTTTAGGGCCTAACCAACCAACGCAGTTATAGCATTTAATTCTTTTATATATTTATTATANAAATTAAAAACCCTCTTGTATTAAATATGAAGCACATTGATCCTGTTCCTCTATTTCGTCAGAATGATTGTCGGAATCTTTTCTTCTACATGGCCTTTGTCGCATCTCGTACACACTTACGTTAATATACAGTAGAATCCGCTTATAATGACATCGAAGGGAAATGACAAACACGCCATACTAAGCGGGCGTCATACAAAGCATAGTCTTAGAAAATAAACAACTTTCTATTTTGGTAGAGAGGAAAACCATAAATTGTATATATTTATTAACAGAAAAAAAAAGAACGATGAATTGTAATATCAATATACATAAGAAGGGTCAGAAAAATGAGCGAAAATGTTGTTATTAAACATTTGGGTCACTATAGCCGGATACGATTTCTTGAGAATCAGTCATAATTAACGATATGTTATTTTAAACGGAGTCATTATATCCAAACTTTCCTATAGAGAATTTAATATGAAAACCAAACTTAACACTGCAATTACTTTATATTAAGCGATTGGTCAATATAGACGGAGTCATAATAAACGAATTTCACTGTATTTACTGCTGTTTGCGTTTCTGTTTCCGTTATGACACTTCCGTTGCATCACTAACAATAATATAATTGTAGGTATACATAGTAGAAACTTATCGAACAGGTCTCGTATTTGTCATTTTCTTAAAATTACGTTACCTAGTACAGTACCCTGTGAGCATTAAAATGTAGCTCCTATGTACATATTTAAATACAGCTGTTGTGATTTAGTATCAGATTAAAACTTTTAAAAAGCCGTTTTCGGAATTAATAATATCACCAGTTAAATATTCCACACGTAAAACAAACAATACTACTAAACATTGGTAGTATTCGAAAGAAAAACATGGTGGTAAATAAAAGCCATTGTTCTATTTATAGTTTATTACTGTATTATTCATTAGGATGGTACAAAAAACTTACCATTGTTACCGGGTGATTGAAGTAAACTACTTTGGGCAAGATTAGCCAATGAGGTGGTGACAATTTGGCCGTTAGTTAGAGGCAAGTTTATCATTTGGTCGGCGCAGTTCATTGGATTGAATGGGATTGTCAGAATTGTTTGGGTCGCGATTCCTATAATAACGAAACATTTGCAATTAATATGAAGAGAAATCGCTGTAGGTAATGTAAATTTGTCCATTGAGGTGAGTCATCTGAGGTAGTGTTTAAACGGACAGCTTTTCGATTTCACCGCTAATTTTTCCACCAGGGGGTGACATAGTTTGCCTTTATCGACTTGGCTAATTGATAAAGTCGTTATCGAATTCATCGATACAGAATTAACCCAAATATTATATTTTCCAATAGCACATGAAATAAAAAAGTTTAAAAAAAATATGGTTTTTAATGAGAAATATTGAAACTATATCAAATTCAGTATGATATTCGAATTCAGTGTGTTCGAATTATTACGAATCGAATGTTTTATGTTTCAAATTGAAGAAAAAGTTAGGTCAATTTTTACGTCCCTGATCGAAAACTACCCTTGGAATCGAAAAACATACGCTAATAGCAACGAGACTGTACATGAACCATATGCTATGTAAAGAGAGGGCCTGGTTAAAGGCTGTTTTGAACTATATACAAGGAGGGAAGATTAATCTTGAACAACGTGGTTTTTTATTGTTAACAGAAAAGAAAATTTTTGGTAGATCAAAGAAGATGTAGAAGTGTATTAATGCCCACAACCTGCATCCAACAGACGGGCGGAAGGTGATAGACAATTTTTAAAAATGACTAGCCCCGACTTTTACTTTTTCAGGTGGTTTTCGATAAAAAAATAAAATTTAAATGAAACTTCTATGAAAATTTCATTTTATAAATTTTAAAAAGACCACAATGTTCTGGGGGACGGGGTGAAGGGATGAAACTATAATAGACGAATCATGTGAGAAAGTGAGGTAAAAAGTGGCTAACATAAAGCCATACGGTTTAGGCACGGTCCCAAAGCGCCAACAGTTCGAACTCCCTCTGTTTTCAATTGTCTCATTGTGCTTCAGAATGTTATCAAGACAGCGTCTAATTTTTGATCACCCTTTATATACCTTTTAATAATATGCTCTGATAGCTTAACCACAAGTTCCTCACGTTTCGCTTGAGAAATTGGTATTCAAATTGCAAAAAAAAAGTATAGGTATATATTAAGTTAACATATTAGAACATACCTTGCGATGTGGGTATGAGCAGTTGCGCACCCTGTATACCTTGAGCTAATTGACCAGATGCCAAAATTAACTGTGGCATTGCAGGAAGTACTGGTTGAGATCTTAGAAAGTTGGGAACGGGATTGATACTTGCCGATTGAGCAAAATTAGCTGCCATGTTACTTGTACGTGCTGTTGCGTCTTTAACTCCAAGGGTTTGTTCTGAAGTATACAAAAAATAACATCTTCTTTTAGAGAGAATTCACAGCTTTTATCAAATTTTTGTCTATTTATAGTAATATAATGGAATAACCAAATCGTGCATAAAATTCATGAAATTTCTCCTAAATGTTAATTACCAATAGAAAATGACAATGTGTTTCTATATGTAACACAAATTTATAGCTAAAGTGGTTTTAGTTTACACCCTGTAAGATAACGATGGTTGGCATTGGTAAAAACACATAAAAAAGGTGTTTAAAAAAAAGATAAAACTAATTGTATACTTCATTTACTTTCTCTAGCGATGTGTCCCTTCCAATGTCTTGGATACGCGCTGGCAAAATCGTAGGTAGGGAGAAAAAAGCTTTATATATTATACTCTCGACTCTTGTTAATTAAACATACTTTTTCATACAGGACCTGCCAAAAGTTTTGTTCAATTATGAATAGTAGTGCGGGTCGAAAACAAGTGTCAAAGCCTTTAATATGTCTTCAAATATAAATAAACATCTCGTTGATATTTTCAGTAGTAANAAGTTTTGTTCAATTATGAATAGTAGTGCGGGTCGAAAACAAGTGTCAAAGCCTTTAATATGTCTTCAAATATAAATAAACATCTCGTTGATATTTTCAGTAGTAAATGGTACCAATAACAGCACATTTGAGTAATGCAATTGTAGTGGATAAAATGGTCAATTTTTAGGTGGAGTACTGTACGGATTATACGCTCCTCACCGGTCATGAGTTTGACCGAGAGTTGTCTCCTTTCTTTTCTGGTCTAGTGCTGTTCTTTTTTACTTTGTGCCGGTCAAACTGAAGGTCACATCGCTACAGAAACTAAACAAAGTATACGTTTCTAAACTCGACGATTCTCATAGTGTTAAACATGCATAAATATCTATCTATATTTAAAAGAGTGCCGCGGGGAACGATCGATATGGCGATGACTTTTTATGCAGGCAGTCTTGTGATGAAAGGAACTGACGAGAAGCTTTCCGGAAGTAATCAAGAGCATTCGATGGCTGTACAAATAGGTTTCAACACCTGATGGATGATAGTCCATCGAGAACAGGTGATATAAATGGTGCAAAAACGAGAAGTCGAAACGGTGATATAAAAGCATACCAGAAGTAATATAAACACAAAAATTGAGGCAAATTGCTTGACTATATATGCTATTCTACTGCTACATGTTTGAAAATCAATTCCACTAATTTTCTTCCAACTAATAAGAAAATTTCTTACCAGCAAAGAATAAAAATTAGACATTTTAATAGTCACTACTAAAAGCATTTTGTAATTTTTGAATTAGAAGAATTACAAATAAAAATTCACCGACTGTTTTAATTTGTATAATATACGCACGAGCTGCCACTGCTTTAAATTGATTTTTACTACGCTAAATTATGTAATTTAATCATCAAAAATATTTTACCTGATGTGTTCATCGTTAAATTAAGGGGAGCATTCGCCGCTGATATTGTAACACCTGGCATACTTGGAAAATTAGTCGGAAGATTTTGTTCTAAATGAGAGGAAGGATAGTTTTGATACTGAAGAAGGTTGTTCAACTCTGGATCTGTAAAAGTGAATTTAAAATATTGACTTTTATACATTAAACACATGTACATAATTCTGGAATAAATTGTACACGTTGTTTAAAACGAAAAACGTTTTTTGAAGTTTTTTCATACTGTCCAAAGGCATGTATGTTTGTAAGAAGGGATGCTACAGAAAATCTAAATGCAGCAAATACCATCAGGAAAAGTGCATTGAATTTTCTGTACATTAAAGTGAATTAATTTTTTAAGATAATTTTAAATTATAAAAATTGTAGTTGCTATCACCTCTCGCAGCTTAGTGGTAGAGCAATGCTGTGTAAAGCGAGGGGCACGGGTTCGATTCCCGGCGAGGGCGCGACAGCAGCAACAATTTTCCTAAGGTTATGTTGTGGTAAAATTTAATAAAAAAAATTCATCTTATTGTATTAAAATTAACCAATCACAAATTTCTTCAAAAAACAATGATGCTCCCCAAAGAAAGGAGAAAAAGAGAATATTTTTTTTTAATTAACCTTATTTGAGATGGAAATATTGCAGGAAACTATAGTTAGTACTTTTTGTAGCTTAGGTTTGAAAATTCCAATAACTTTTGACAACGTTGTTGTTTTTCTATCGGAAGACTTATGATGATATATTTAAACTTTATTTAGGATCGGTTGTTACAAATTCGCAAGCTTTTTTATCAAAAGGTCGAACAACTTAAACAAAATGTGATAATCCCTGAAAATAGATCGCTTTTAGAGAAACTCCCAAGATATAAAAATTGATTTTCACGTAAATGCGACTTACTATTTCCATTAAAGTGGATGGAGCTGGAAGATTCAACCATACGAGGTGTTTTTGATTCAACAGGACTTAAAGATTCGTTTTTGGGTTCTAACGAGTTTGTTAGATGTTCTAGAGCGCCGTTAACCGCAACAGGAGACGCTTCTTCGGGTATACTGACGTTGCTTTCTTGATTGCTCTCCTAGAAATAAAAAGGGATCCTATATAATGATTCTATTGATGCAAAACAATCAATGAATTATAAAATCCAATCAAGTAATTAAGTGAACGTCATTATAAAAAAAATTAACAATTCAAATATACAATAATATGCCTTCCATTTTTTAGTTGTCAGTTAGTTCAGATTGTTGTATCATCATCTATCTCAGTCACACCGAATTCGGTTACAAGGCAAAATTAATTTTTTTGGTGGGCTTTAATCTCTTAACCACTCAATAGAATCGGATGAAATTTTACAAAACGTTAGTCTTGAAAACATTTAATCGATTTTTTTAGAGCATTTTGCGCATCTTTTATGGTTTTTATACAATCCATGATAGAAAAATGGTATTTTCCTTCGGAAAGCTAAAGCGAAATTATATTGCAGATATGTGACCTTTAATAGTAGCGTGATATATTTAAGTACTTACGACCGAATGGTGCACATTTGCGGGAAATAACAGACGAGCAAATCGACCAGAACAAGACTTCTCAACATTTTTAACACTAGGGCCAAACAGATGATTAATTGGCGGGCCACTGACAATACTACTTTAGTAATTTTTTAAAACTTGTGCAATAAGAAACCAATATTATGATACGTAATTGTTGTTTTAAATCAAAATAAAATTAAATAAAAACTGTCGTAGTTAGAGGGGGTAATAGTGGGAAGGAAAAAGATATGGATTAGAGCATATGCAGTATTGTATTGGAAGTAGATAATTGGGTGGGATTGAAGGAAATGGTAGGAAGGCTGGAAAAATACTTGTCAAAAAAAGGGCTGAAATTAAATATTGAAAAATCTAAAAGAATGGAAGAAGAATGAGAAAGAAGAAGAAGGGAAAAACAAAATGTTTACCTCCAATATGTTATGTGACAATAATAGGGACGAGACACTTATAATAAATAAAGTAGTGAAAGAGAGGGCAATATTGGAAAAGTTATGGGGCTTGGGCAGAAATTGTGTAAGGAAGATTGGGATAGGAGAATGGGATAGGATAGGATAGGATAGGATTTAAGTTGATAGTGAGGAGCATAGTGTTTTATGGGGTGAAAATATGGGGAAAAGATATAAAAAGTGGCTATTAAAATTAGAAGAAGATACGCCAAATTACGTAATAAGAAGGGAGACNAATGGAAGCGGTACTGACAGTTCAGTACTGTATGAAAATAAATAAAAGTAAAACTAAAATACTGGTATGCAAGGGAAGAAAAAGTAGGGAAAGAGCGAATATAAAGATAGGAGAGGAAAAATTAGAAGAAGTGGATGATTTTAGATACCTAGGAAGTCAGATAAGTGAGGATGGAAGGAGTAGTAGGGATATAAAGCAGAGGATAGCTTGTCGCCTTTAATAAAAAGAAGGCAGTTCTATGCTCGCGAACGGTTAATTTAGAAATTCGAAAAAGGTTGCTGAAGGTGTATGTTTGGAGCACGGCATTGTACGGGTGCGAAACATGGACAGTGGGCGCGGCGGAAAAGAAAAGGTTAGAAGCGTTCGAAATGTGGTGTTATAGGCGGANTCTATTGATGCAAAACAATCAATGAATTATAAAATCCAATCAAGTAATTAAGTGAACGTCATTATAAAAAAAATTAACAATTCAAATATACAATAATATGCCTTCCATTTTTTAGTTGTCAGTTAGTTCAGATTGTTGTATCATCATCTATCTCAGTCACACCGAATTCGGTTACAAGGCAAAATTAATTTTTTTGGTGGGCTTTAATCTCTTAACCACTCAATAGAATCGGATGAAATTTTACAAAACGTTAGTCTTGAAAACATTTAATCGATTTTTTTAGAGCATTTTGCGCATCTTTTATGGTTTTTATACAATCCATGATAGAAAAATGGTATTTTCCTTCGGAAAGCTAAAGCGAAATTATATTGCAGATATGTGACCTTTAATAGTAGCGTGATATATTTAAGTACTTACGACCGAATGGTGCACATTTGCGGGAAATAACAGACGAGCAAATCGACCAGAACAAGACTTCTCAACATTTTTAACACTAGGGCCAAACAGATGATTAATTGGCGGGCCACTGACAATACTACTTTAGTAATTTTTTAAAACTTGTGCAATAAGAAACCAATATTATGATACGTAATTGTTGTTTTAAATCAAAATAAAATTAAATAAAAACTGTCGTAGTTAGAGGGGGTAATAGTGGGAAGGAAAAAGATATGGATTAGAGCATATGCAGTATTGTATTGGAAGTAGATAATTGGGTGGGATTGAAGGAAATGGTAGGAAGGCTGGAAAAATACTTGTCAAAAAAAGGGCTGAAATTAAATATTGAAAAATCTAAAAGAATGGAAGAAGAATGAGAAAGAAGAAGAAGGGAAAAACAAAATGTTTACCTCCAATATGTTATGTGACAATAATAGGGACGAGACACTTATAATAAATAAAGTAGTGAAAGAGAGGGCAATATTGGAAAAGTTATGGGGCTTGGGCAGAAATTGTGTAAGGAAGATTGGGATAGGAGAATGGGATAGGATAGGATAGGATAGGATTTAAGTTGATAGTGAGGAGCATAGTGTTTTATGGGGTGAAAATATGGGGAAAAGATATAAAAAGTGGCTATTAAAATTAGAAGAAGATACGCCAAATTACGTAATAAGAAGGGAGACAAAAAGTGGATAGATGTGGGAGGAAGCAGTAAAAAGGTAGTAAAATATGAGGAGGCAGGAATAAGGGGACATAAGGAAAGAAATATGGAGTAGGAAAGTAATGGAAATAAGGGGCAAAAGGTAGATATGATAGAGAAAGGATGGCAGCTTTGAACATTTTATAAATCAGACATGAGCAAATGTGGAAACAGCTTAGAGAAACGACAAAATTAGGAGAATTGGTGAGGAATAGATGCAGGGAAATAATAAGAGGAAAGGACGTAGAAAAATAAAGAGGTCTAGATATGTCGTATGAAGGAGATAATGTGCAGGGATTGACACGGTATTTGCAAGGGGGAGGGAAATAAGTGTAATGGCAAGATTTAGGACAGGGAATGAATGTGAGTATGTAATTGTAGGAAAAAGCAAGAAATTGTAGGATTTCTAAAAGGGAGGAAGAGAGCTTAAAGCATGAAGAAGATTTTAAGGAATGTTTATGTATGGATGTATGTAAATAACTTAATATTAAAATAAAACGATTATATACATAACTAAAGTAGATGATTGATACAGTCATTGTGATTTCTGGCCTTGCTTCTGTTTAAAAATGTTCGTATATTAGGTGTTAAAGTAGATGTCAATAGTAACACATACATACATACTTTGTATAATTAAAACTTTGCACAAACATGTTGATGCGAAACTACATAATAATTGTAAGACCAGGTTATGATAGGAAAATTTTCTATTTTGTACCAATTTCCAGAAATAGCAAAATCATCTGAAGATTTCGAAGATCCATTTTAGGCAAAAGATTTCTTTAGCACAAAAGGACTTTCAGTTCAGTAGTTCTGAACATTGGCAAGATAAGTAATTATTTCAGTCAAACTGATTATGAAGAGATTTACAAAAATTTGTATATTTTGTTTTTAACTCCCAAAATAGTTAAGGCATGACGAGAAAGAAGTGGGCGATTTTAGGTATCTAGGAAGTCAGATAAGTCAGGACGGAAGGAGTTGTAGATATATAAAGCAGAGGCTAGCGCAGGGTAGAGTCGTCAAGTCACTTCTATGCTCGCGAACGGTTAATTTAGAAATTCGAAAAAAGCTGTTAAAGGTGTATGTTTGGAGTACGGCGCTGTACGGGTGCGAAACAGGGACAGTGTGCGCGGCGGAAAAGAAGGTTAAAAGCGTTCGAAATGTGGTGTTACAGGTGAATGATGAGGATACCGTGGATAGATAAGGTTAAAATGAAGAGTTATTAGAAAAAATAAGAGAACAGAGGACTCTATGGAAGTCAATAAAAAATAGGCGAGTTAGGTTAGTAGGACACCTTCTCAGGCATGAAGGCCTTGAATCCATGTTAAAACTTCTGACAAGATTTCTTTGCTTTTCTGATGGAGAAATTGTTATAGAGTGAGAGAACTTCGATCACCGCGCTCGTCTTTAACTGCGTTCGTTACAGTCTCATTGTACGTTTTCAACACTTTTTCAACTTAACCTCCACACTGTGACCCCCGGACATAGACTTGAGCTGTTGTGGACTAGAACGTCATGTGTTTTTCGCTTTTCAAACCACATAAACAAAAATATAAAATTATCACACATTAGAATGACGTATTAAACTGAATTTTTCGTACTTCGTAATTACAGTTCCACAAAGATCAGTGTGGGCACCGGCATGCCTCCTGCTTCAAAGTTACCTAATAATTATTGTATCAAACTGTAAGCATAAATAACAAGAGCATTGATTCATCGATTAATTATTTTTGAGTGTGGGTGGTGGTTTTCCGAGTACCTATTGGTGCTCCTAAATATCCTCCCGGAAACGGTAAAATTATTCATTGATGCCTGAAAATTGAGTATTGCACCGCAAAAAATACGGCCTATTAAGTTGGTACAAATTTAGACCACTGTTGCTACGAATATGAAGAACAAAATAATATGCAGGTATAGGTTTACATTTCAATTACCGAAGTGGAAGGTATTGAAGTAGATACGAATGAAACCAATATTTCATTTCCATTTAAATTAAGGCTTCGTTAAAATTTTCAAAACCTTTCTTTTCTAGAAGAAGTTGTTTGTTTATGAATACATAAATAATAATTCATAAAATAAGGAAGGAACTCAAAAAATTGTAATAAATCCTTATAAAATGTCTGCTTTAGTCATATTTAGCTATTTTATCGTCATTAACCCCAAAATTGCTTGGGCATCTCCACTCTTTTTGTTATCTTTAGTAAATTTTTGTATTTCTCATTCATGCATTCAACTATTTGGAAATAGTAATCCAGAGAAACGGGGCAGTTTGTTCTAGCTTTGCGGGTAACAATAGAGAGAATGATAGGAAAAAGGGTGTAGACAAA